GACCCAACGGGGGCCTTGGGGACTCAATGGGGCTCTTGGGGACTCAATGGGACTCTTGGGGAACCTCTGGGGGCCTTGGGGACTCAATGGGGCTCTTGGGGACTCAATGGGGGCATTGGGGACTCAACGAGACCCTTGGGAATCAACGGGGCTCTTGGGGACCCAACTGGGGTCTTGGGGACCCAATGGGGCCCTTAGGGACCCAACAGGGGCTTTGGGAATCAAGGGGGGCCTTGGGGACTCAATGGGGTGTTGGGGACTCAATGGGACTCTTGGAACCCAATAGGGCTCTTGGGGACCCAATGGGACCCTTGGGACTCAATGTAGCTCTTGGGGACCCAATAGGGGTCTTGGACACCCAACTGGGGTCTTAGGGACCCAACGGGCCCCCTGGGGACCCAATGGGGCTTTTGGGGACTCAGTGGGGATTTTGGGGACCCAACTGGGGTCTTGGGGACTCAGTGGGGTCTTGGGGACTCAATGGGGCCCTTGGGAATCAACTGGGCCCTTGGGGAATCAATGGGGCTCTTGGGGACCCAACGGGACCCTTGGGAACTCAATGGGGTCCTTGRGGACCCAACAGCTCCTTGGGGACACAACTCTGTCCCTGGGCACCCCGACGTCCTCTTGGGTTCCCACCACCCCCCAGGAGGCCCAATGTGCTCTGGGGGACCCAGTGCTGCCCCTGGGCACCCCAACATCCTCTTGAGTTCCCACCACCACCCTGGGCACCCCAACATCCTTTTGGGTTCCAACCACCGCCATGGGGAACCCAACATGTTCTTGGGTTCCCACCACCACCCTGGGGAAACCCAACGTGTTCTTGGGTTCCCACCACCACYCTGGGCACTCCCCTGTCCTCTCGGGTCCCCCCCGCACCCCGTGGAGCTCCGGGCTCCCTGGGGTGTCCCCGGCACCCGTTGGTGACGCCGTGCGCCGCCCGGTAGGCGCCGCCGCGGTGGCCGAGCCCGTGGACRGCTGCTACCTGCCGGCGCTCGGCGGCTTCGTGATGGTCCTCAGCGACGCCGGCGACATGATCTACCTGTCCGAGAACGTGCACCGCCTGCTGGGCCTCAGCCAGGTGTGGCTTCGGGGGGGCCTTGGGGGGCCTTGGGGTGTCCTGGGGGTCCTTGATGTCCTTGGGGGGTCCTTGGGATGTCCTGGGGGTCCTTGGGATGTTCTTCATGTCCTTGGGGTGTCCTTGGGGTGTCCTTGGAGTTCTTGGTGTCCTCAGGGTGTCCTTGGTGTCATTGGGGTGTTCATGTCCCCATGTCCCCATGTCCCCATGTCCCCGTGTCCCCAGCTGGAGCTCATGGGCCAAAGCGCCTTCGACTTCGTGCACCCCTGTGACCACGAGGAGCTGCAGGAGCTGCTGAGCCCGCGGCAGGGTGAGCGCCCCGGGGTGCACGGGGTGCCCAGGGGCA